TGTAAGGCCCGAGCAGCCACAGCAAAAGATGTAGCGAAGGCATGCGCACAGGTCGCTCTTGAAGCGCCGCCTCTTCCGTCAAGTACTTGAGCGTGTACTTGACAACCACTGCGATGACGAGTCGCACATTCATGGCTCAGATTGATCCAGGAGCTGCGGGCCAAAAACATGAAGCTGGTGAAGGACTTGGCCAGCCAGGACATTTTTCGATTTGGATGAGGGCATCGACGACAAAGTCGCCAACGGCACCCGGTAATTGTCTCATGATTTCAATTCGACAGTTCTTTCACGATCATTCCAAGAAAGGCTAGAAAGGCCAACAAAGGCTGAAAAGCCACTTCTTGCCATCATGCCGACAAAGAAGCCTGATGCGGAGCTGATTACGCCGATTACGCCGGTTACGCTGATTACGCCCATTACGCCGTTTACGCTGGCTGCGTTAATTACGCCGATTAGGCCGGTTACGTTTACGCTGTTTACGCTAGTTACGCTGGTTACGCTGGTTACCCTGGTTACGCCCATTACGCTGGTTACGCTGGCTACGCTGGTTACGCTGGTTGCGCTGATTACGCTGGTTACGCCAATTACGCTGGTTGCGCTGGCTACACTGGTTATTACGCTGGCTACACTGGTTACGCTGGTTAAACGCTGCTTACGCTGAGTACGCTGGCTACGCTGATTACGCTGGTTACGCTGGTTACGCCGACTACGCTGTTTATGCTGGTTACGCTGGTTACGCTGATTACGCTGAGTACGCTGGTTACGCTGAGTACGCTGGTTACGCTGGTTACGCTGGCTATGCTGGTTACGCTGATTACGCTGATTACGCTGGCTACGCTGGTTACGCTGATTACGGTTACGCTGGCTACGCTGGTTAGGCTGGTTACGCTGATTTCCCTGATTACGCTGGTTACGCTGCTTAGATTTGGTGAAACCTGCGCTTCAAATCCCACTACCGCGTCTGCTACGAAATCTGCACTTGAAGGTCCCCAAATTCTGGCGCCTGCCACGAAACCTGCGCTTCGCATCCCACAAAATACAGCGCCTGCTACGAAATCTGCACTTCAAGGTACCCAAATTGTTTGCCTGCCACGAAACCTGCGCTTCAACTCCCACAAAATTCGGCGCCTGCTACGAAAGCTGCGCTCCAAGGTCACCAAATAGCTGCGCCTGCCACGAAAGCTGCGCTTCAAGGTCCGCAAAGTGCTGCGTCTGCCACGAAACCTCTGCGGCAAGGTCCACAAAGTTCCGCGCCTGCGCGCCACGAAATCTGCACGTCAAAGCCTCCTTTGCAATCTTGTTGACGTCTTCCTTGATCACAGTGACCTGCCAAAAACATATGAAAAACAGCGAAAAACATGTGAAACGCGAAAGACAAACACACACGAAAACAGTGTATCTCGTCACACCTTTTTGTAAACAATCGTGGGCCCACCTCCACATGGACCGAGCAGCAGTTGAAGAACTCGATGACTTCACTCCTTGGCTGCAGGATTCTGAGGCCTGCCTTGATCGCCATGGCCTACCAAAAGCGTCGCCGTGTCTTGCGTAACATGAGCGATCCGCCCCATTGAAACGATTTCAAAGGAAGCTTCGAGCAGTCCAAACGGTGGGAAACATAGCGAAAAATGAAACAACATGATCCAAGAATGGTTTCTTGATGAATGATGAATCCACACACACACACAGCCGCCATGCCTCTGCGAGAACGAAATAGAGTTGAGACTTGGGGAGAGGCTAGAACAATTGGATTTCAATTTTTTGATTCTTTTTGATGATTTTTTAATGAAACGCGTTTATGAACAAACATCTTGCTTCTAATAAATATTGAGATTTTCATGATTTTTTGATGAGCAAATCTTTGATTTTCAAAGACTCAACAAGTGCAGACATTTGTCATTAGAAACTCATACAATTTTCAAATCTCAAAAAAGCATACATCCAAAACGTGATTTTTAAAGAACAGTTTATGATAATTTGATGAATATTTTGATGATTTTTCACCAAGCAGTTTCCGGTTAGGGGTTCTCAATTCTTTCCTAAGATGTGTTTGCCCTTTGTGTCACTGTTGGTGTCCGCCCTTTTCCGCTGGCCATCTTGCACAGCTGGTGTCCGCCCGGCGATGCAAGATTTCTATTCACTTGTCTCCGAGGTCTGTCCTTTTCCGCTGGCCATGCAGCATTTCGATTTCTTTTCATTTGTCTCCGAGGTCTGTCACTGGTGGTGTCCGTCCTTTTACGGAGCCTACGGTTGTGTGACTGATTTTCTGATTTGGTGAAAACCAAAAATTGTCAAAAATAATGAAAGAAATAACCAAAAAAACAAAAATTCATTAAAACTTTTTGGCTGCTTTCCCGACTTTTTGGCTGCCTTCCTGTTAATAACAAAATAAAGGCGGTAGGCCACCGCGTCTTCCACCAGCGACGGGGGCCATGGGAGAGACTTCTGATATGTTCTGATTGCCCTTTTCGCGTCTTCTACTGAAATCAAAAAAGTACGTAGTGCGGGATAGTTTGACAGGTCTCAAGCCGGCAAAGCCGGCGGCGCTAACGGCTTGTCTCCCTTTGTCTCCCTTCTTGTTGGTCACTGTGTCCGGCTTGTCTCCCTTCTGTCTCCCTTTGTCTCTGGTCTTGTCTCCCTTGTTTTTAATCACTGCGTCCCCCTCGTCTCCCTTCTGTTCCCTTCTTGTCTTCCTTCTTGTTGGTCATTGTGTCCATCTTGTGTCCCTTCTGTTTCCTTTTGTCTCCCTTCTTGTTGGTCATTGTGTCCGTCTTGTCTCCCTCCTGTTTCTTTTTGGTTCCCTTCTTGATTCTTGTTGGTCATTGTGTCCGTCTTGTCTCCCTTCTGTTTCCTTTTGTTTCCCTTCTTGTCTCCCAACATTGGTGATTGATCCACATCGCACAAGGTTTCGTGCCAGACTTCCCCCGATTTCTGACAGGGAGCCACATTACTGCATGATGCCAGAAAAGGTTGCGCGAGATGGCTCCTGCGCCTGAAGTACTAGCGTGGGTTGGCTTGAAGGGTTTAGGTTCGAATCAACACAGGGTTAAAAACGGTTGCGAATGCGCTTGATTTTTGGGTCGTTGGCACATTTCCAAACATAGCTCTGTGGTGTGTTCATTGGAGCTTATGGGTAGGGCTCTCAGTCATCAACTTTGACGGGAACGCCCGAACCCGCTGGCTCCAACGAGAATTCTTTTTGGGGTGCGGCGCTGGGCGAGTCTTCGGGGTTTGGGGGCTCCAGAACGAGCGAGTGGACGATGGCGGAAGATGGTGGATGGAGAGCCCCAAGGTCATGCAATAGCCGAGCGTGGAAAAGAACTCCGCCTGGAAAGTGGACTGGCAGTGCAGCCCCACCCTAACATCTGCGCAGGCCGAGAAGATCAAATACACCATCCTGTGTACATACACACATACGTATAGATATATATATATATACATATCTATATAGATGTGTATACATACATATCTTATATAGAATATAGATCTCGATAAATATACATATACACATACCTAGAACCTGATGAACCCCTGTTTTGGAGCCAAAATATGGTCTTTTCCTATTAAAGCAGAGGTCAAATGGGTTCTAGGTATATATATATATATATATCTATACACGCATTCGTTCAGATTTGCTCGTCGTGGCTCACAGCATTTGGACATTGCAACTATAGCGCCCCTTGACTAAAGGCTTGCGAATTCGGCGCCCGCCAAAAAGGTCCAGCTTAAGAGCTTGATCGTGTGTGGTTTAAAAAACCACACGGGAGGCCGAGATTTGCAGCCCCCTTCCACGCGCCCTAACCTGGCGCAGTGTTATGTTGTTGGCGCTGAGCAAGACTGTACAAGCATAGTTCGTACTAGACACGAAAAGAACTTCAGGCGACTCGATCCAGACGCCGCACCTGCTCGTTGACCGTTGCAAAAAATCAACAACATGCCGAGGGTTTACAGGAGCATTGGGCCTGACCTCCTTAAAAGGAGACAGATGAGCAAGTTCGTACCCTAACGTTTCGTCAGGAAGCAAAAGAAACCTCCCCTTGCGCTGCGAGCAGGGGCGAGATGCTCGGAGCAGCGTGAATCCGGAGGTGTGAGCCCAATTTCGGCACGTTCCGGCAGCCAAAGCAACAGGAAGGGCAGTCATCATCTCGTTTGACCCACAGGCATTGATAAGCCCCAGCGCCCAGTACTCACTAGGCAACCCGGAAATAGAACGCCTCGGCAAGGCAAGCCGCCCTCACCGCACCAGACCATGGTCACGAGGCTCTGACCACCTTAGGCCGACGCATCTGGCTTCGACGGCGTCTAAAACAACTTGAGCTATTTTGCAACTCTAGTGGAGTCCCCTGCCAACTCACTTTCAACCTACGAGGGTGACCTGAATCTCTCCAGCTGCAGCTCCTACTTGACTAGGTCCCTGTCCAAGGGCTCCTGCGCAGGGACGGTTGCTCAGCATCATGCGGCACCGGCCCCAGAGGCTCAGGCGGCGCTTGGAGCATTCCAAGCCCAACAGCCGTGAATATGGCAATCCCATCACCTGCCTCTGGTCCACCTGACAGAATGGCGGGCTCTCACGGTCCTCCGCGTGGCGCAGATGAAGAACCTTCGCGCGCAGAAGATGAGTGCTCTAGACAAGACAAGGATGCTCAGGGAGTCGCGCCGGT